GCTGATTTCCTGACAGAAAAGAGACAAGGAGAAACAGCCCACAGTACACTGACAAGTTCCCTTGAGTCAGCCTTTCACCGCGCCTGTAGCTCCTCATGTCTCTAGTGGTAAAGGCACAGAATGAGTTCAGCCCGCCTTGCTCCTGGGACACAAGAGTCTTTTATCAAGAAGAAAAAGATCTCCTTTGAACTTAACTTTGTGCTCATGAAGTGCTGGAATCCTCCCGCTGTGACAGCGACCCGGTCAGGAAAATGATCCCAATGCCCCACACCAGAAGGTATTTACCTAAAGAATTTCAAAAGCCAACAGATAGGGATTGGACTGGATTTTGTAGGTATGGACACATTTTAGCCTGGTAACAAGGTACAGAATGGACTAGCAGGGCCAGAGGCCTGAGACAGCAAGATCCATCCGAGGACTGGGTGAATCGAAGTGTCGGGAGAAGCTTCGCTGGTCAACCAGCAACAAGGATGGAGAAAAAAAGGAAAAAAGGAAAAAAATCAAAACCCTGCTTTGACCTAGTTGTGAAAGAAAAATAGAGTGAAAAGCTGTTTGACGATGTCTTTTCTCAGAAGCTGACTAAATAAGTCTTGTCTTGAACTGAAATGCAAAAATAAAAAGGGTCTGTGCTAATAACTATTCTAAAAATTACACTATAATGAAATATGCAAAATACTAAATTATGGACTGATTTTAGTGATCCTTATTTGGTGGTTCAGAAGGCAATTTAACATCTCATAATAATCACTCTTAATAATAGCAATTAATAATTAAGCACGTCTCTATATTTGGTCTTCTGCTAAGCTCTCTCCAGGCGTGACCTTCTTAAGGCTGTCTTATGCAATAAGTGCTATGATTATTCCTATTTTGCAGATGAAGACACTGAGGCTTGAAGAGCTAAGTAACTTGCCCAAGGGCACCCAATTAACAAAAAGTCCTCTCCGGTTTCTAAGCCCCAAATTCATGGTCACACCCTGAGGCAGAACGCTGGAGCACTGGCTAAAAACTGCAAGCAGCTGAACCAAGACGGGCTTTCTTCTCCCATCCACGGTCCTCATATAAGCAAGGAGTAGAATTTGCACAATACTAATGGGTATTTTGCAACTTGTTATCTATTTTAGTGTTATGGCTGATTAGACTGAGTCCACAGTAATTTCTGTCCTTCCTCATTAGCGGTTGCTGGAACCCAAGTTCTGAGCAGGTTAGCAAGCCTGCTGTATTTCCCACTGTGACAGTTCACTAAATTAAATTTCAAAACATTCCTTGCCATAGACCCAGACATCCTTAACAAACCAATTCCAGCAAGTCTCAAGTGTAAAAAGGTGTCTGAGGAAGTTCTTGTTTGTCACTGGAGAAGTGAATTTTTAGCCCCCTCACCTCAGTGAAGTGCATTCCGAGCTAACAGATGCAAAGTGCTTGGAATTATGTTTTGAATGTGAGTATGGAAACTGAGAAAGCACATCCATTAAAAAATAAAATATGTATAAGCTGCCTGCTACAGCCACGAAGTGATTAAAACCATCATCTTCCTAAAGAAATGGGCCACATATTTGTTTCTATTAATGTTAATAACTTGCTAACTAATGATAAATGTATGATAATTTATTCTAAGTAAAATGAAGTGTGCCCTAAAGACAGACTCTGCAAATGAAAGCTTATGCTCACCCAGTTTACAGCAGGGACATTAATAACTTATTCTTTTACTGCAATGAGAATGATTGTATGCAAATCATATGCAAAGATACCCACAGTAGCAAAATAAAGGCTAAGCAGGGGGCCTGGGACAGAGAAATTATTGGCAAAGGTTCTGTGAAATGATCTCTCACCCTCTTTGCAAAGGCTCAGGAATTCATCTCACAGAGCCAGAGCATTTTCCTTAGTTTGTTCTTTGGGCATATTTAAGATTCAGGATTATTAGTCTTTGCTTCTCCATTACATAAATAGAATTAATAAAAGCCACCTAATGTTATATTGCATACATTTAGAGATCATTAAGCCAAACTATTTTTGTGAATTTAGAAATTATGTAATTATTATCTGTATAAATAATGTTAACAATTCTGATTTATCCATGCAGATAAACCCCAAATATCTATTAGCATTCACAGCAGTTTTCCTTCCCCTCCCAATATCACAACCATTACTTATTATGTTGGTACAATATGAGCACTCAAATTAAATTCATGTTATTATTTGTGGGAGATATGGTTGGTTGGCTACTCAAAGACATTTTATCCTCCCTGTGGGCTAATGAGAAGTAAGGAAGAAGAGAAGAAAGGGAAGAAGGAGGAAGGGAAGGAAGGGAAGGAAAGGAAGGAAAGGAAGGAAAGAAGGAAGGGAAGGGGGGAGGGTGGGAGGAAAGGAGGGGAGAAAAAAGGGAGGGAGAAGAGAAGGATGAAAGGTATCCTCTAGAGGAAGAAATTATTCCAAGAGAGAAACAGGCAAAATTCTCTATCCCAGAGCCTTCTGCACCTTGCCGTTGAAAGAGGTGGAAGGGTATGAAGCCATACTGTCGCTATGAGGTCATGGCTGAGGGAATTAATTGCAAGAAACCAATGTGAATCTCCAACACCACTGTGCTTCTGAACCAAGGATGCTGGCAGCGACCAATTTGTAGACTTCTTTTTATGTAAGACAAACAAGCCCAGAGATGGCTAAGGCTCTGTTGATTGAATTTCCTGTTATTTGCAGCCAGTGACATTCCTAGCTGATATGTTCTTCCTATAACAAACCAGTGGCATCAAAGCACAATGAGAATCAGAAAATGAAAAAAAAAAAAAGAATCATTGCTATAATAATCGTGGATATTATAGAGTTCAGTGGCTCTTCTGAAACATGATGGCCACAGGGATTGGCATCACCCCAGAAAGAGACACTTCCTTCCTCTTCCTATTCCTCTTCCTCTTCCCGGGAATTTAGGGGTGGTGGCAATAAAGCTTGTGAAATCCAATTCCACTACTGAGTACAGCACAATTTTTGCTATGACAAATGTGCTTTTATGGGATTGGAAAGGTGGAGAAGTTGGCACCCAAAGCTCCCCTAAGGAATGACACTAAAGCTCGCCAAGCACACCACATCACCCAAACTCAAGGTTTCCCTGTCTACAGAGGTCATTGTCTGTCCTGAGCCACTCCTGGAACAGTCTCCAGACCTTGGGTAACAGCTGAGTCACCTCAGCCCCTTGGTTTTCATTCCTGCTTCTGCTAGGAAATGCCAGGACCAAGTCTCAGGTGCAAATTGAAATGAGGCTAGAAAGCTTCACTACAGAGCATAGGAGAGGGGGAAGCTTTTGAAGCATCCACCTTGTTGCCTGAAATAAGGGTAGGTGATTCTCCACACTTCATCTGAAATCACCCAAAGTCAAGAGGGCAAAAAGTAAGGGTGTCTTTTCTGAGAAACCCAGAGCTTTTACCATCAATGAGAACGACGCCCACCCAGGTCAGATCGTGGACTGCTGCAACCAGCTGAAACAAATCTCCAGCTAAAATCTCAGGTTTTAAGTTTGTTTGTCTCCTTTCAGGCTATATTTCATTACTTACTTGTGAAAAAGAATCTTGAGTGTGATCTCACTCAGCTTCAAGCCTCTCAGATACAGAGTGGCACAGAACTCAGGCTCTGAGCCGTTTCCTTAGACACAGGGTATTTGCACCCGTACCCACATCCTCCAACTGCAAATTAAGGCTGATGGCAATATCTACTCCAGTCAGTCACTGGAAGATTGAAGAACCATATACATACATACACACATACACATACATACATATATATGTGATACACACACATATCCATCAATACATACAGACACATGAGAGAGAGAGAGAGAGAGCGATGACAACATACACACTAATCTGTCATCCAGAAGAGCTGTGAAAGGAAAATATCTTGGGCCCCCAAAATCACTAAAATCTAAAAGGAAAATTCATGCTGAGAACTGCCCAGAACAAACCTGCCTCTCATTCTATTCAAAGTCATCCCTCTGCTCATCGAGACAGATGCATATTCGGATTGCCTCCTTTGGAAAGGCTTACCAGAAACTCAAAAGAACACCAGCTTTCCTCTCTCACCTACCTGTGACCTGGAAGCCCCCTCCCAGCTTCCAGTGTCCCCGCCTTTCTGAATGGAACCCATATCCGTCTTCCATACATTGATTGATGTCTCCTGTCTCCCTAAAATGTATAAAACCAAGCTGGGCCCCGACCACCTTGGGCACAAGTTGTCAGGACTTCCTGGGGCTGTGTCACAGGCACTCGTCCTTAACTTTGGGAACTAAACCTCCCGAAATGCCTGGGCCTTGTCTCGTCATTTTTCTCCATGTAGAAAGCACTTTATAAAAGTTAGTTATTATTATTACAACGATTATTTACAAACTCAAACCTGAGTGTGTAACTCAGGACTTTCAATAATTGGTGATAAAAAAGTCAACTTAGTTGGGTGTTCAGTTGAGAAGTGATTTTTACTACTGCATGCTACTCAAATTTCTAAGTCAAGTGTCGGAGACACCCCAGGACTCTCTGTCTGGCTCCGCTCCTCCCCTTCCCTCCCTCCTAGGCTCAGGCTAGGAGCTGGCTCCACCCACAGGCAGACTCTCTCTTTCCAAGGTCTTTCTCTCCAGGCTTCTAGTTTCTAGAAGTTCCACCACGAGTCCCGAAATGGAATCTCACTGGCCTGGTTACTCCTGCCCCCGGGGTCATGTACCCACCTCTGGAGCCAGGAGCGGGGACCCAGCCCACTCACCCGCACATCACTGAAGGGCTGAAGAAAGGTGGTTTCCCAAAGGGAACTCCAGACCCCGACACCCAGAGAAGAGAGAACAGACGCTGACATGGGCACTGACAGATGAGCTTTCAAGGCTGCAGTCCTTAGGGCAGACAGCCATTGTCCCTCCCACACACGCACACCACTGAATATGCAAATGCGATTGTGTGTGTCTGCTTCCATCACAAGACGCAATGATGTTTTACACAGAAAGACTGTGCTCTTTGAAGCCAAAGTGAGTGTGGGTTTGAGAGGCACTCTGAGGCCCAACAGTTTCTGACCCTGGATGGGGATTATGCACCCGGTGCCTCGGCTGGCTCGGCTGTGAAAAATAAAACAGGGTGGATTCCAAAGGAGACAACACGTGTGGATGCTTTAGACCATGACCTAGCGGTTTTCTCTATTATTCTGTATTCTAAGGAATACACAGTTAAAACAATGATTAGCCACCTGCATCTAGTTTCAGTAGAAAACAGCTGGATTTAGAGCCGACAGACCTCACAGCTCTTCTACTGACCAGCAGAAAACCAGAGCAAGCCATTAAACCCAGGGTAAGCCCTCCAGCCTCCCAACAACCCCCCAGGCTGTTTGTGCAGGACCTCCAACTAAGCATGCTTTGTAGCATTTTTTTTTTCTTTAAGACTGAGTCTTGCTCTGTCACCAGGCTGGAGTGCAGTGGCACAATCTCGGTTCACAGTAACCTACACCTCCTGGGTTCAAGAGATTCCCCCGCTTCAGCCTCTGAGTAGCACCACCATGCCCGGCTCTTTTTTTTTGTTTTTTTTGTATTTTAGTGGAGATGAGGTTTTGCCATGTTGGCCAGGCTGGTCTCAATCTGCTGACCTCGTGATCCGCCCACGTGAGCTTCCCAAAGTGCTGGGATTACAGGTGTCAGCCTCTGCGCCCAGCCGTTTTGTAGCATTGTTAAAGGGTTGGAAGAAGGAAGAGGAGGAAGAGATATAGAATAAGGGAAAGAACAGGAGGAGAGGAAAAAGTGGGAGGGAAAGAATGAGGAGGAAGCGGAGGAGGAGGAGATGTAACAGAGACCACGTGTGTTTTACAAATTATATATATATATGTGTATATATATACACACACACATATATGTAATATTTTTGTAAAGGGATATATCATAAACATATATGCTCTAACATGGTATATAACATATCAAATAGGATATATATTTACTACATAGCTCTTTACAGAAAAGCTTGCGGACCCCGCACTAAACCACGGAGCCTGTTTGCTTATGAAATGGGGAGATGACATCCTCCCAGCTTCCCCCATAGGGCCACTGGGAGCATCAAACAAGATGATGCATATCCGAGTATTTTTGTGGCTTCTGCAGCGCTAGGTCCATGCCAGCATGGCCACCTCTGCCTCCTCCCAGGCCCCTGCCCCGCAGGTGAAGGGCTGAGGTGCGCAGGCTCAGAGATGGCGAGGGGCCGCTGCAGGGATTTGTTCCGTTCCACCTGTCACTGCTGCCCCAAACCCAGCCATGATCTGAGAGGAAGGCTTTCTTTATGGAGCTGTCACTTTTCTGAATCCTGGGGAAGTCGTTCAAAGGCACCGTCTCCAATAATCCCACTTTTTACCTGTCAGAGAGCTTGTTTTGAATTTAGTTTCAACCCCTTCAATCCAAGTTCCACCTTGCTAAGAACTAACAAACTCATTTAACTCTTTCTAGCGATCCGCCTCTATTCCCTACCTTAGCTGGTCACTCTCAGAAAGTCACCCTTGACCTACGGGATTCTTCACACTGATGCCTCTTGCAAATTACAAATGCCTCTGGCCGATGTCCAGACTTTGACCTTGAAGATGCTCGTGCCTGAGTCCAGGCTGTCCTGTGGTTTAGTGTGTGCTCCACACACAATTCTACTTGGCTTTCGTAGGCCCCGTACATATTTTTCCAGATAAATTGTCCTTGCATTTATGCATGACCCGTGCAACTGAATTGTTTTTAATACAGACCTCCAGTAAGCCACACTCAGACACACACAAAGGCAAACCTTGTTCCCTTTCTGCTCTTGTAATTCCCTCCTTCACCATTAAAGAATATTTCTGGGCTGGGTATGGTGGTTCATGCCTGTAATCCCAGCACTTTGGGAGGCTGAGGTGGGTGGATCACTTGAGCCTAGGAGTTTGAGACCAGCCTGGGCCACGTGATGAAACCCCATCCCTACAAAAAAATGAAAACAAACAAACAAACAAAAAAAGCCAGGTGTGGTGGTGTGCACCTGTAGTCCCAAATACTTGGGAGAAGGAGGTGGGAGGATTGCTTGAGCCCAGGAGTTCAAGGCTGCAGTGAGCTATGATCACGCCACTGTAACTCCAGTCTGGGCAACAGAGCACGACCCTATCTCAAAAAATCAAAAAACCGAGAATATTTCTGTTTCATTTCACTCCTGTTTTTAATGTGAATTTGTGCTTTTTCTAAGAATAAAGCTCTACCCATGTGAAATTCACAGCCCTTTGCCACAGGCACCGTCCCCAATTTCAGCTCTAGTTTCCACTCCTCTGCCCATGGGCAAGGCATTTAACAAGTCGGTGTCGTCTACAAGAAATTCCTCTCAAGCAAATAGCATGAGTAGGTCTGGGGATCTGGGCTGTTGTTCCTAATGCCTACATGCCTAAAACTATTTTTTTTTTAATTCCAGCATGTCACAAACGAGCAGTACCTAGGATTCCTCACTTTCAAATGTGCTCTCCAGAAGATTCGATACCCAGCCTGGTTGGGGAATCACTGAGGGGGTGTCAGCTCTGTTCTTCCTCCCCAGGACCCTTCGAGTCACTGCTCAAGGACTGAGACCCATCTGCTCCATAAGGGATTGTAACCGAGTGGCCCAGACTTGAAACACATTTTACAGTTTTTCCTTTTTCCTTTCCTTCTTCATCTCAGAATGTAGCCTGGAAATGCACCTTCAGACTTCACTTCCCTCCTTTCCACCAGGCACTCCGATGTGCTATGCTGGCTCCTCTAAGTATGCACTTGCTTAGAAATTCTAGAGGCTCGTTTTGAAACAAACCAGTCCCAAGACCCAGCTCCAGAATCCTCCTGCTTAAAAGGAGTTATGGACAATTACTCCACCACCACCATCGGGCCAGCATCAAGAGAATGGCAACCAAACCTCCGGACAGGCAATTTCTCAAGATAGCCATTGGAATAGGGCCCATGGACCTACACCCCGCGCCCCCTCTATACCACTCCTGCATATCTCCCATACAGTTTTTCTTCCTAAACCCCCTCATTCAGCCCTGAAAGACGAATGGTCTTTTAAGGACATGAGCCTAACCATGCCCCAGCTGCTAGCACTTGAATAAAGCCGCTTTCCTTTCACCACTCCTCGCTTCTCTTCTGGCCCCTCCTCGCTTCTGTTCTGGCCCCCGGGCCGTGAGCAGCAGGACCTGAGTCTGTTTCAGGATGAGCACAATTCCTGTGATGAAGGCATCAGGCGGCAGGGCTCACAGTGCAGACCCACAGATGGAACCCCGTCCACAGAGGACTCAGGCCAGCACTGTCTTAAAATCATCTGAATCTCACCACCTGAAGTGGAAAGCACACGCTCTGTTCCCCACAGGCAGCACGTTGGGCCGTTTTACTCATCAGGAACTTGGGGCACAGTGGATGGAATCTATGAGCTTTTTGGTATCCGAACAAGAACTGATAAAGACGGATACTATGGAGAATTGAAGAGAAGGGAGATGAACAAACAGCAACGTGCCCAGATCTTAGGAAACACTTGCTTGCTGAATGAAGCAGGTAAAAAAGGAAGACAGGATAGACTGTAACAGCCATATGCACTAAGACACATGCCCACATGGCGTCTGTCTTTAGTTTACAAAGACACAGGGATATTTGAGGCTCGATAGCAAAGGCATTAGGATCGGCACCCATGGGAGATGAGAAATGGCCCTAGTGCAAGGAGATGCAGGAAAAGCAGAAAATACAGAAAGGAAAGGGCTTTGCTGGGGTTAATGAGAGTCTGTCCTCAAACTGAGGTTAACTCAATTTTCTGTGCATGAGGTTTTGGGGTTTTGGGGGTTCGTTTTTGTTTGTGTTTTGAGATAGGATCTCACTTTGTCACCCAGGCTGAAGTGCAGTGGCGCGATCTTGGCTCAATGAAGCTTCAACCTCCCAGGTTCAAGTGATCCTCCTGCCTCAGCCCCTCAAGTAGCTGGGATTACAAGCAAGCACCACCATGCCCAGCTAATTTTTTTACTTTTGGTAGAGACAAGGTTTCACCATGTTGTCCAGGCTAGTCTCAAACTCCTGACCTCAAACGGTCCACCTGCCTCGGCCTCCCAAAGTGCTGGGATTACAGGCTTGAGCTACCACACCCAGCCTGTGCATGAGGTTTTAAAAAATCATGGGCAAAAAAGACTGTAATATGAAAAATTATTATGCTGGTTGGAAAAATGCTAAATCCTTGAAATGTATAGTATAGTTGTTTGATTAAACGGGGCAGGGACATCTATGGCACACCTAATACTCACGTGCCTTCCCATATTTTCCCAATGCCTTGCAGGGATGAGTCCCTGGGACCAGCTGTGCTCCTACACACTCTGAGCAGAAATGGTCCAGCCTCTTCATTGCTGGAGCACCTCAGAGCTTGAGTCTGACCCTCTAGGGGCTCTCTTCCCCACCATGGGAAGGTGTGGAGCCCTCCTGGGACAGATGGTACAACTCCCAGATGCTCAAGCTTCCATCAGCCTGTTCCCTGAGCAGCAGGACTTCACTGTCTTGTACTAAACATATAACTGAAATGAGAAATACAACTCGGTGAAGTCCTGGGATGTCCCAGTACCCAGCACATCCTAACAATCCCAACTCATGTAGCTGTGTCAATGCATCAACTGCCATTGAATGGCTATATATTTACCTGTTAGTCATATTTCATATGGAGGGTGAGTGCATGTCACATGTTTAATATGACTGTGATGGAGCCTCTCAAAGGAAGGATGGTTAGATCTTGCAAAAATCCTTTAAAAAGCCCTGTCTGCTCCAACTACCATTTCACATCTGGCTTAATCCTCCAGTCTAATGTGCTCCCTGACCTCTGCAGACATTTGCAGCTGAGACCTTGTGATCTCAGCATCCTCTCCAGACAGGAGAGAGAGAGAGTTCTCCATCAGCTGAGTCTCAATATCTATGCAGTGTTTCCTATAATCAACAGAATTGGTGTTTGTTAACTAAATGATTCTGATAATTAAGTGGATTGCTTGTGTCTCCAGGAATGCAGAGAGTATGTGTGTGTGTGTACTCCCGAATACTAACTGAGAGAATGTCATATTACCCAAGTACATGCTACATTTCATAAATGTAAAGATGTACACATTAGCTCTTTATGAAGTAAAAGTAGTGCTTCTATAACAACATAATGACACTACCTTCCTTCTATGTGCATAAAATAAACATCTCCCATGAATCATGAAATCATAGAAAGGGTCCCCAAAATCATAAAAAGAGATGAATTACTGCAGTAAAACGACTCTCCGGGCGTATGTTGATATTTACACACACAGTTACTAAAATCCAGCAGTCTGAGGCAACGATTATTGTACAGTACTTACATCTCTACAAACTTAAAGATTTGGACAGCTTGTTAAAAAAATACATTGTAACTTTAGCCATTAACAGACTAATTAAGGACATCATTAACAAATCTATCCCTCTAATCGATTCCAAATTTTGCAAAGCAAAGAAGAAAATGTAAATGAAAAAGAAAAGAAATCTATTCCCAACCTACAGGAGAAAGGAGTTGGGTTCAAAGACACTCTCTAGGAAATGGAAACCATGACACATGTGTGTTGTCAATAAACAGCACTGTGTGAGACCACTGCCACTTAAAGGAATGTATTCCAGAAATAATTATGTAATCTAGGTAGTAACATATGTGCTACCCAAGTCTAGTGATTTTTTTTTTATAGATACTCCTTGCATTATTTGAAATATGCATGTTTGTGGAAAGTATTTTGTGACAATTTTCTTTGTTGACATCTCCCTAAAAGAATTTATTATCAAGGAGATTCCCTTTTCATGGGCGCTGGAAATACCGAAACTAAACACAGGTCCACGGTGCTATTTACAAGGCAGAAAGGACTGTACTGAAGACCTCAGTGCAAAATTCACATGTCCAGATGAATTTTGTTAAGTTGCTAAGTTTACAAACAATTGCTTTTTAAAACTTTCTACAGTTGCCGGCAAAATACAAACAAAAAACATGCACTTACACAAAAAAGAATAGCACCTTTATCTTCCTCAATGAGGCAACTTCTCCAAACAGAAGCATTTATGCTTTAAAAGATGAAAACCAAGGAGAAGTAATTTATTCCCACTCCAAAGTTGCTCAGACCTTTCTAATAGTGATTTTCCCCCCACCAAATGAAAAGCTTGCTTTCAATGTCTTTGATCTGCTGTTAATATTTTTAACCCAAAACATAAATGCAGATGATTTACTTCCCAACCACCCGCCCATGTCTCTCTCAGAATGAATGAACTAAAACATCGCAATAGTTCCTGGACTTCCTGCCTCTCCGGAGCCCATGAAATATACATGAAATGGTTTCGTGCCACCTGCAAATGAAAAAGTCAAATAAAATTTACAGTTTAGAGGCAGATTTCCAAAAACCCTGGAATGGCTAATTTAATACATCTGTCATATATAATTACACATAAAATGTAATCCAAAACATCTATTTTTTTCTTTCTCTCTTCAGACAAAAATAAAGCAACTACCCAGACCTGAGCCTAAACAGCTGCCCCACCAAACAAGGATATTCACCTCTGACGTTTTCATGCACCAATAAAATTTGATCATTCAATGTGCTTTTCATGAGGAGCTGCTCTCTCCATTACAGAAACTGCTACACTGGATTCTGGTCTTTTTAAAGGATGACCATAAATCAGGATTAAAAGCCATGGGTAAGCTGCTATTAACTCAGAATGTCCACACTGTCTTTCCTAAATCACTCATCAACCCAGGTACGATCAAGGAAAAAGGACTGCCCAACGTATGCTCTAGAATAGAAAGCGTCTTTCCAACTCTCTTCCTAAAAATCTGAAAGACTGCATTTATGGTCTAGATGCAATTTGAGAGAATTCAACGGTTTCTTATCTGGAAGGAAGAGACAAAACATTTATAAAACTTTGTCTGTCAGAATGGCCAGTTCAGGCATTGCACTTTTTCCTAGATCTGATTTCTTAGTTACTTAGATTTTAGATTGCCCACCGCCCTTCCACTGAATCCAAGGAAAGAGGAGTAAGAAAAGACAGGCTTAACGCAGACGTGGCTCTGTAACTGCTGGTTAAACTGGGTAAAAAATATTTGTGCCATATATGATCAAGTGTTATTTTGAATACAGAATGAGCTCTTAGAAAGTAATCAAAAAGAGAAATACCCTAACATTAAAAAATAGTATTTATAGGATATGAATAGGAAAGAGTGATTCTCCAAAGAAAAAAATGCCAGCGGCAAACAAGAAAACGATTTAACCTACTAGTAATCAAAGACAAGCAAATTAAAATAATGAGATATTCTTTTTTCCCCTTAATTATAATACTTACTGTTGGCAAGGGAACAATGTAACTGATATTCCACACACTGCTATATTCCATTTTGCAGTATAAACTACTGTCATTTTTTGGAGGTCAGTTTGGAATAGGAACTTTTAAACTTAAAACTTTTTTTTTTTTTTTTGAGACGAAGTCTCCCTCTGTTGCCCAGACTGGAGTGCAGTGGTGCAATCTCAGCTCACTGCCACCTCCACCACTGGGTTCAAGCAATTCTCCTGCCTCAGCTTCCCGAGTAGCTGGGATTACAGAAGCCCACTACCATGCCCGGCTAATTTTTTTTTTTTTTTTTTGAGATGGAATCTCACACTGTCACCCGGGCTGGAGTGCAGTGATGTGATCTCAGTCCCTGCAACCTTCGACTCCCGGCTTCCAGCAATCCTCCTGTCTCAGTCTCCCGAGTAGCCAGAATTACAGGTGCGTGCCACTACACCTGGCTAATTTTTTGTGTTTTTAGTAAAAACGGGGTTTCACTATGTTGGCCAAGTTGGTCTCGAACTCCTGACCTTGTGATCCGCCCACCTCGGCCTCCCAAAGTGCTGGGATTACAGGCGTGAGCCACCTCACCTGGCCCTAATTTCTGTATTCTTAGTAGAGACAGGGTTTCACCATGGTGGCCAGACTGGTCTTGAACTCCTGACCTCAGGTGATCTGCCTGCCTTGGCCTCCCAAAGTGCTGAGATTATAGAAGTGAGCCACTGTACCTGGCCTTAAACTTCAAACTCTTAAAGTAGGTAGGTAGTCTTGGCCCCAGGAATTCCCCTTCTAGGAATATGCCTTAAAAAAAGACTGAGCATATTTTAAAAAACATATGTGAATATAAGGAGAGCTGTCATAGCACACTATTGAAAACACTACAAACACTGAGCCAGTCCATAGCAGGTCACTTGGAAGATCTGAAGGGAAAGAGAATAGGGGCTTCAGCAGAGGCGATCCAGACCCAAAGGAACCACGTGGTTGCTGTGCAGTTAAGTCTGAGGCCATCACCCACTGCAGAGCCAAGCCTGCGGCAACTGGGAGGTGAGGCGAGCACTGATCAAACCCAGCTCCCACACAGAACGTCCGTGAGTGTCTGACTCCCACAGGGTTCATGCAGTGTGTCACCCACTGGCATCTACACTCCTCATTGCCAAACTCACATGCACCCCTGATCAGTAAAAAAACTATTTTAATACACCCCTAAATATGTGTATTATTACCCCCATGAATGTACAAATATATTATGCACATTACAAAATATAACCTCACATTTTTAAGTGTTTAGGATAAAATGTAAATTACATATAAATCAAAGCTCTATTTTCCTTGTACACTCCCTGGGTGAGAGACCGCCGCTCCCGGAGGCTCTTCTTCCTCTGCAGACCACACCTGGTGTGGTGCAAGGTGCCGGCTGAGGCATGGAGCACCGGGCTTTTCAGTGACCCTGGGCACTGACCCCCCACAGAACTTCAGGCCCCTCCCCCCACTACGGCCCCAAGGACGCCCCTCCCAGGCTGTCTGAGGATTCACGAAAGTGCCTATGCCAAGTCCCTGGCACCCAGGGTTGAATTCCTTCATTTGAGCACCTGTCCAGTGGCCTTTCATTGTAAGCTCTCAGTAAACAGTTCCGCGGACATTAAAAGACATTCTCCAACTTCAATCCATAAAGTGAATTATACTTAGAGAAAATAAAATATGTTTCAGTTTTAAGTTTCTATAATTTAAAAAATATTTATATATCTATTTTTTATTCCTCCGGGTAATCCAGACCTTGGAGAATGCACACACGGAAAGGAAAACCCAGCGCGGGGGCTGCGCAGCCCGCCCTCAGGCCTTCCTCCAGCAAGGCGGCTCCCGGTGAGGCCGCCCCCTTCACGGGCCAACTCCAGGCTGTGTTCCGGCTTGACCCTGGCGGCCTGGGCAACGCCAGTGAGCTTCTGAAGCCATTAGTGCCTCAGTTCCTAATACTCAAACATGGAACAAGGGCCCCTGCCTCATGGGACTTGTAACAATTAAATACGACAACACTCGAATGCAATGGTTGCTTAGTGCTTAATAAAGAGAGCGTTAAAGCTTAATAAGAAAAGCATGAAATGCTTAATAATTATCACCTAGAATTGTTATTGTCAATGATGACTAAATTTAAGAACAACCATTAGCTGAGTGTGCTGTTTGGTTACGAACTGGGAGATGTACAGATCTGGCAGAGTACAGATGAATTGTATTCAACTTTATCACAATGAAATGTAAAAATAATCAAATCTGGGCACTGCAGATGCATAAACACACAGAGTTAACACATTACATATTAAATACTGTATTTGACATATGCACACACCCATGTACATACATAATTCTACTTTTTTAAAGTCTCAACAATGTAGTTACCAAACGTTTTCAACGTGCTCTGATTATTATTTTCCCCCTTGGAGAGTATCAAATCTCAAAAGGAAGACAGAAAAGATTCACATAATTCTGAAAAAATCTATTTTTAAAATTAAAAAAAAAAGAAAAAAAAAGAAATCGCCATAGGTGGTTGCTTCAAAGCCCTCGTAAGATTGTCTAATTAGATTGAATGACTTTTTATTTCATTCATTCAGGGCTGAGAGATGATGAAATCCCAGTTTAATCAACCCTTGGTCCCAGGGCTGCTCAGAAAAAAACTTTTTCTCAAAACCATGAACTTCTGCCAAAAGTGTGTTAATTTTAGCTTCTGTATTTCCTTCTTCCCTCTGTAATAGTAATGAGGTGCCCTGAAATGTTAATATTACCTGGAATGTTCATTTAAACTCTTTCTTAAACTTTTGCCCTAAGTTCTCTTTTTTTAATAGGCAAAGTGATGTTTTGCGAAGCGAGAGGCACAGATGGAGAAATCAACGAGGAAGTGGTGAAGGTGAATGCGTCGCTGCTAAAATATTAATTGTATTTAAATGAGAATGTCCTCTCTTTTCCCCAAAATACCAAAGCAATCAACTCAGGAATAGTCTACTGAAAACACGGGTTCTGGTCCCTTTAATAAAAATAAAACTAATATATAAGAACATTAAGTAATAATCGTAATGGCTGATAGTCGTTGAGCGTCTCCTAAGAGCCAGCCCCTGCTCTAAGCCCAAGAGCCAGCCCCTGCTCTAAGCCCACGTGTGTTGTAACCTGGATGTCTAACTCCACAATTGCAACATCTCATTTTCTCAAAGTGATGGAGACCCTGGGGATAGACACAGAGATTTTAGGTGGTTTAAAAAACTGGCATTAAATAGGACTGGGTCGTGCTGTGAAGAAATTATTCTCTTTCAGATCTCTTGCCAATCCTATTGATGCCACTGGGGCAGCAATATTTCGCTTTGTTTTATTTTTTGTTTTGAGATAGAGTCCTGCTCTGTTTCCCAGGCTGCAGCGCAGTAGTGTGATCTTATCTCACTGCAGCCTCAGCCTCCGGGGCTCAAGCGGTCCTCCCACCTCAGACTCCTGTGTAGCTGGGACTACAGGCACATGACACCACGCCCAGCTGATTTTTTAATTTTCTGCAGAGATGAGGTCTCACCATGTTGCCCAGGCGGGTCTAGAACTCCTGGGCTCAAGCAATCCTCCAGCCTTGACCTCCCGAAGATCTGAGATTTGGGGCGAGGGAGAGATTTCTGCTTCCTGCTGGTGCATCTTTAATTTCCCCCAGCATTGCCGATCTCCCCTTTTAGTGGAGACAGAACAGGACACCGTATCTACTAAGAGACGAGTCAGCCTGTTTGCTTTTGTTGTGTTTAATTTTTAGCCTCTATTTTTCATAAATAATCCTGGCTTTCCACTTATATTAGTTATGTAAACTTTTATGATAAAATATTTTGTTATTGAAAAAGTATCTCATTACAAAAGAGAACATTTAGCAAATAATAGTACTGTTGGTTCCAGACATGGCAAAAACTGTAAAACACAAATGAGTTAAGTTTACAAATCTCTGACAATGTTATGAACATAGTATATTATACAAACAGTACTGCCTATAAGACGTTAATTCTCACAGTATTTCTTTAATATACTCGCCCATAGAACCCACTTTTTGAAGAAGAATTTCCACATAATTAATCCACATAAGACTACTATTTTCCAAAATAAAAAAACATTTTAATAAAAAAAGAATATGACCAAATAATAGATTAAGAATTTTCAGAAAGCCTCAATTAGAAGATAAATCTAAAATATTAATCTATAAATACGTTGTCAAATATTTACTATATTCTTACTCATATAGAACACGTCAAATTTATGACATGATTCCACCTCAT